CAGCAGCAGCAGCAGCATCATCATCAGCAGCAGCAGCAGCATCATCAGCAGCAGCAGCATCATCAGCAGCAGCAGCAGCAGCAGACACAGCAGCAACAACAGGACACACAGCTGTCGGTGACTGACAGTCCAGCTCCTGGGCTTCCGTACCAGACGAGCGCTGCCAAAGAGAACCAGGGCCCGTCAGCAGCTGCAGAGGAGTCAACTGACACTCCGACGAAAAGCACCAAGAAGCCTCAACAGCTGCAGCCTCCACAGCAGCATCTGCTCAAACCAGTTAATAAACAGGTGAGTCGAATCTCAAACTTTCTAAAAACCTTCAATAATACTGTGTTTTCATTGTCTCTGCTCACATCACAGAGTAGATTTAAAGGTTCAGTGTGTAGAATTCAGTGACATCTAGTGGTGAAGTGTCATGTTGCAGCTGATTGCCCCTCACATCCCCCTCCCCTTCCAAACATGGAAGAGAACCTGTGGAAATCTTCAGTTTTCATAAAAACGCAAAAGATGTTTGGTTTGTCCAGTCTGGGCTACTGTAAAAACACTGGATTATTTTATATTTGCTTTCTGCCAATAGATCCCTTTCACCTGAATCTTACACACTGAACCTTTAAAACTTGATTTGAAAACCTCCCACTTAAGTCAAACACACTTCTATTTTTAGGACATGATTCAGGCTTCTGTTTAGAATCTGTGTTCGTGTTCCAGGGTTCGACCTTGAACACCCCGGCCCACAACGAGCGGACTGTGGCCTGGGTGTCCAACATGCCACATCTGTCTGCTGACATCGAGAGCCTGCGGCCGGACCGGGAGGGTCAGCTGAAGGAGTACTCCAAGAGCATGGATGAGTCACGATTAGAGCGGGTTAGTGTGCTCACCTGCTTCCCATGATAGTGGCTAAAAATAGAACAGTTTCAAGTGTGTGAATGTGTGTGTGTTGTAAATATCACACTATTTAAAGTGAGAGCTTTACAGGAAGAAGCAGATTCAAAGAAACATTATCTTGAAGGCGTATTGTCATCATCTGCTTCCTGAGAATATATATTTTTTCTTAATATGTGATGCACACACTCTAGTACCAAGTGCAAAAATCTAGTACAGTACACTGGCAACTAAAAAAAGCTGCAAGAGTCAATTGCTTAAAGTGAAATCATGGATTTCATTGATCAATAAATTGTATAGAAGATTCACTTCTATCTTCCTGGACAGAAATATTATGGTTTGTTTAGATTTGAGTTTATTTCCTATATATTTAGACACAAATCATAAATGAAGTGTCAGTTCTGCCAGCTGATCTATCTAGAACCATGTAGACTAAATACTATCAACAATAAACTTCACTTGTCAAAAACTAGGTGACTAAGAAACAAAAGACACCCGGACCTACTGGAAGCATGACTTTGATATTTAGTTAAAACAGTGGTATAGTTTATTTTATTGTACATAAAGTTAATTTGCATAAAGGCATTTAAATCACCCCATGTAGAAATGGCATCACTAGGTAGCATAAGTTTGTTTGGAGAATGAATGACTGATGAAGTATGAAGTATTATATGACTGTTTTTTTAATATATTCCCTGTTACAAAGTGGTATTTTAATTTAAAAGAACCGCACAGTAATGATAATAAACTTTATTTATAAAGCACTTTTCAGGTGCACAGTGCTTCACAATAAGAAAGACAGCAAATCATAAAAAAGAAAAGAAATAAAACAAACCAACTGCCTAGTTAGAGGTAGGAGAACATTTGAAGGTACTTCTATCAATGTCGTTAAATAATAAAAATAAACAACTCACCAACACACACCAAATATTGTTCAGAAGCTGTTGATCATGAAAGATTCCTTGATAAAAAATTAAAAATGCCAAACTACAGACTAAACTACGCTTCTTTCGCTGGTGAATCTGATCTATTATTCCAGTCATCATATTATGTGAATCCCACTGTTAGCAGGAACACATTTAAAAATAACACCTCAGCACCTGGTGACACTGTTTCAACTGGTTCTGCCATAGTGCGATTCTATATCAGAGCTTTAACTGAATCAAATGTGAGTTAGATAGTTGTTGCTGCTGTTGTTCATTTTCTATAATTAACTCTCAAACTCTTTCCTGTATTACGCAGCCTTGTCTGCACAAGAGATCTTTGCCATCTGTGGTTTATAGATAAATAACTCATCATTCAGGAAAATTGCCACAAACAAGTGATTTCTATATTTCCTTCCTCATTCAGGTCAGAGAGTACGAAGAAGAGATCCACTCCCTGAAAGAACGGCTGAAGATGTCTCATCGCAAGCTCGAGGAGTACGAGCAGAGGCTTGTGTCGCAGGAGCAGACGACCAGCAAGATCCTGCAGCAGTATCAGAACCGGCTGGAGGACAGTGAGCGCCGTCTCAAGCAGCAGCAACTGGAGAAGGACTCTCAAATCAAAGGCATCATCAACAGGTGACTAGTGTTCAGGTTGAAGTAGGTAATAGAAGGAATCGAACTTAAAATCCACAAGTGCCTGAATTATTTCCGGCTGTACATCTTTAAGTGACGTGCATTGACCACAGAGATAATTTACAGTCTATTACCGCTCCTCATGTTCGTGTGACCTGGACAGGCAGTGACTGGGAACTATATCACAATTTGCTGTTGCTTGAAAGAGTAGCAGGTTGTTTTCGGTGACACAAAAACAAACAACATACAAATGGCTCAACACATCTACGAGGGAAACATGCAACGTAAAGGTTTGAAGTGGTGACCGGCTGTCTCTTCCAATTCTTTTCCTTAAAACAAAATGTTTCCGAGCTCAGACAGGAATTCATACGTTTTCCACTGAAATACAACTTGCACTTGGTGTCATTTGAATCTGATTGAAAAATTTTTTTACAGTCTGGGGTAATACTTTTATTTGCTTTCTTGCTGAGAGTTAAATGGAAAATAGATATAACTCTCAATTTATATATCACCATGGTCAACCTGAACTCTTCAAAGCTTTTGCCGTTGCCATGGTTGTTGACGGCCAATTTAGTACCCAAATTCTTTTTGTTAATAATAATAGTAATAATAATAATCACAAAATTCAACATAGTCCATGAAATAAGAGCATGAATCAGGCATTTTTCATTTTGCATCAATATTATTTATAAGTTATTCAATTTCATCAAGTTATTCAATTTCATCAAGTTATTCAATTTCATCAAGTTATTCAATTTAATTTTGGTGATTTAAGTCACATGTCATTGTCTTGTTTCCAGCACCCTAATATTAGAGACTCCACAGGACACTTTTATCGTACACAGACAAACATCTCATCAGAAAGCAATCAAATAAATGGATTATATCCCAAAATGTGCAAATGTAGCTGATTTAAATATCATGACAAATACAGAAAATATGATATCCACACTTGATATGAATTAATTATGAAGATAGAAGAAACTAAGCCAGCCTTGATTTAAAGTTTTACAACTGGAGTATCATGGAGGTCACATCTAATTTGGTAGAAAGCCTTCTGTAAAGTTAACTTATTCTTAAATACGTTTCCTCTGAATTCAGATATGGCAGATGGGTGCACACTTCACTATCCTGCACACACTCGTAAGTTTCCACAAGCTGACAGCTGAATTTGAACTGTCTGAACGTTCTGCAGGCAGCTCAGCTTGAGCTTCAGGAGGATAGATGAACGTGCCCGGAAACATGTCAGGACCTTAATATCATCATATGGCCACATAATCCTACAATAAATTTGAAGAACGCCGGCTTCATAATTCTATTTTTGTCAACCGGTTTGTTTGTCTCTATTTTCCCTGTTGTCAGACTCATGGCTGTGGAAGATGAGCTGAGAGGGGGTGCCATTCCTGATATTAAGCCTCGAATCCTCACAGACCAGGTTTGTGCCTGTGTCTACATCTGTTATCATCTCTATTTGCCAAACCAAGTCTTGTCCTAAAGAAAAAAAAAAACACTCTCACATCATTATCCAGAGCTTTCGCATAAGCCAGTGCAGGGGGAGAAGCTTGCAGCTGTCATGCACGTCACCTTTTCCCATCTTTTCAAGAAGTCTGTTCATGTCACGTCTGAGATTTCACCATTTTACTGCACAATCAAGAGCTGGATGGAGCTTACAGAGGTTATTATGTTTGTGTGAAGGAATAAGATGTATTCAGCACTTAACTTAAAGGTTATGTTTTACCACATGATGCATTCATCATTAGAGTAACCTTGTCCGTGAGTCACCAGCAGCATCACAGTAATTCCTCAGGGCTCAGCCTTATAAATGCACTATGTGGGCTGGATTGTGATGCAGGTGAAGAGGCTATGCTTGTGTGTGTGTCTGTGTGAGTGTGTGTGTCTGTGTGTGTGTCTGTGTGTGAGTGTTCACTTGTGCCATGTTTACTCCAAAATGACTCAGGAGAAACATTTGCTGCCATTGAAATTTGCTGTCACCTTCCTCGCAGCCATCAATATCAAGGGCAAACAGACATAATTGCCTCTTGGAAAATCAGACCGTTTATAAAAACGTTCCGCTGGGTCTGTGAGAGAGTAATTGTTTTTGCACCAGACTTCTCAAACAAATACGAGTGAGCAATGAGGACGGATCCAAACTCTGCAAACAGAATTAGAGTCTAGTTTGCGAGCCGTCCTCTGTGGCTCAAAGTCACGGCCAGAGGAAACACGCTCACACGTGATAATTGAATGCTGCATCGCTTTGAGCTCATTTAAAATAAGATGTAACTGCTTATCAATGCTTTTGCTTCAGATGTGTGAGAATGAACAGTTTTCACATCCATAGCAATTGTTTTGGGAAATATGTTTTTTTTTTTTACTTGGCCAAGGACTCAGATGACGATTAGGCTACAGACAGCAGCTGGTTAGCATCGCTTTGCTAAGCACAAAGACTGGTAGTAGAATATTGAGGCTGGGGCTCATGTGCTGGACTATAATTAGCCGGGAGCACTGGCTTCCTGCAGTCTCTGCTGGTTGCCTGGCAATAGATCCCAGCCAAGAAATATCACAACCCCCCCTCTCTCCTCATCACCTTCAGACAGAGCCAGGCTAGCCGTTTCCTACTGTTTCCAGTCTTTGTGCTAAGCTAATTACATGCTGGCCCATTATCCCACAGACACGTGAGGGGTATCCAATAGTGGAACAAAATATCGATACAGCAACATATCGTCATCCTGTGTTTATCGCTGTATTGTGATATTATCGTTATCGTGGACAATTTATTGCGTATCATATCGGGAGTTACCCTGCGATTCCTGCCCCTAGTATCCAATCTCTGTAGAAAGTGAATAAGCATTTAACCCAAAAATAAAAAACTGTTCCTTTAAACCTGCACCTTTATGAGGTTTTAACTGCAACTAGTAATTTCACCTGTTTTCTCTCCCCTCAGTCTATCAGCCACGGCTATGGTGGCCACCCAGGATCCTGACTGCCAATTCCAAAGTGACCAGAGTTCTTGATGGTCATTTGAGCGTGAGAAGACTCAGATTCAGATCCTCTACAAAAATATAAAAAATAAAAACACAAAGAAGAAGCCTTGCAGTGGATCCAGCAGGACGACTTGAGGCTTCATCTCCCAACGCTCTTAAAAATGAAAAACTTTGCACATATTCAAACTTTGCCTGTACCAGAACTTGACAATCAGTTTAGAGTGAGGACCAACATGTGCGGTGAATCTCCCGCACACGTTGACTGAAATATAAGCCAATGCCACAATAACGGCAATACTGATCCTATTGAATTTATTGATTTGATCGGGGGAGTTGAGACTAGAAGTGGCAAGGGTGAGGGTTGAGTTTTGATTTCTTTCCCTGTTGCAAATGCCACATTCGCTTTTCACCTCAGTGGCTGCAGACGAAATACAGAAAAGGCTTTTCCAAGCACAAAATCTCGTCATGGTGACGAGGAACGAGCCTGTTGTTAAATCAGAGCCTGAGCAGAGACCTGCTGTATATTATAACTACTTGACTCTGATAAAATCTTTAGTAACATATTCTCACTGCAAAGATATTTGCACTCAGAGAGGTGGTTATCATGAATGATTTTTGCATCTTTTTGCATTGTTTATATTACAGCTATCCTACGTGAATAGACACCAAACAACTCCTACAATCAACGTATATTATATCTGCTTAAAAAACAATCTAAATCTTGTTTTCCTGTGGTGGACAGTATAAAATCACAACTACAATCTATTACATTTCTGTTCATTAAACTATTTCTTAAAGCTACACATTTTTTAATAATGAAAAATCATCTTTTACAAAAAAATGAGATCAAAATGCTTTGTTCACTTTGTAATAATAGTGATGATCACAATTATGATCAAAGTCGAATGTACAATATTTCAAATAGTGACGCAAAGTGCTGTATGAAAAAATATTACTTAGTAAAAAGGAATTTAACTGAATATAGAGTTTAAAGGGACAATGCAGACGACCTTTGACCCTCAGCCTCATCCAGACCCTCTATGAACAGGTGACCCACTATCATCCAACCTACATGCCTTTGTATCTTTACCTGCGACTATTCGTTATCCATTGTCAACTAATTTCTCAATATGCAAATAAGTTAGGCAGACTCGATAGCGAAGGGGAACATAGAAGCTACGACATTAACATCCTGTCACAGCTGCTTGTAAGTGGGAATTTGCTGCGTCTGTTTGTTTCACGTTGCATATCTTTTCTGATATTTAATTGGCATTGACATACAAATTACATTAAATTAGTAAAATACTTGAGAGAATTATTTGCAGAGTAGTTGATAAGAAAAGGAAATCGTTAGGGTCAGGGTTGTTTGATTCTGGTTGAATCTAAGAAACAGTGTTGGTTAGGGTGAGGGTCACTTTCTGGGACCATCCTAAATTTAACCCCAACCTCAACCACCTTGCCTTTAGCTCTCTAAACCATGTAGTCGTTTGTCTGCATGTGGCGAATCATCATGATAAATCCCTGAACCCTACCCCTCTACCCCCACAGTCAGTCTGAAAGAACCCTAACAAAGCTTCAAAGTAATAAGTCAACCTCTTCAAAGTTATAAATCCAGGCCTTTCACCTCTCAGCCCTCCACGTCTGCTTTTTGATTCTGTTCATGTTGATTTAGTTTCACAGCACTTTGCAACATTGCTTTGAAAATTGCGATATAAATCCATTTTAATATTGATGATTGTAAACACAACGTGAAACTGGAAACAAATGATATGATAGGTAAGTATAGAATTACTCATCTGTTGTGTTTGTCTCTGAAGCATAGATGTGCAACATTTCTTCTGCATGAGCTTTTTCTAAAACATGAAGACGAGTAAGTCAGTTTGCAGTCAGATATTCTAATGTACAAAAAAACTGGGCTTTCTTCTGGGAAGGCATCTTTTTTTTAAAAATTCATTCCAACCTGATGACTCTTCCGTTATTTTTCCAAAGCGGGTGGCATTCAATCTTTTGCATTATATAACCACAACGTTCTGGGAGGATTGGACAAACAAAAAGACGAGAGACGGCGAAACAACAGAACAATGATGAGTTTCTACGCAGGGATGTGTAGTATATGTGCATAGGATTCGACTGCCTTACAGTCCGTGTCACAGGGCCCAAAATAACAATGCAGACACAAAACAACTTGTAAACTTTGTATATTAAATGTCATTTTTTTGTAGTCAGGTGATGAATTAATAAGCAGTGTGTTGGTTAACTCCGTATGTTAGTCAGAA